TTTACATTTTAAGCAGCATTTTTATTTGTTTTCATTGGAAGAATTCTTTTCAAAGAAATTGTCCACCAATAAAAGAAACAGAAGCTAGAGCAATACTTTTTAAAGAAGCAATTGTCCTTTTTTCAGCAGCTATGCTGCAGCTGGTAATAGCAATTCCACAATAACAAGATAGTTCCTAGCAAAGCATATGGATAAAGTGCAGCCCTCGCAAGTTCCCATATAGACACAGAGCTGTAGCATCTCCATGAAATAGACTGGCACAATGACAATAAGTGGAGCAAATGGTATGACTGATTAGCATCCCATAAAAATGGCATTTGCCTGGAAAGAAAGAAATTAGATCTCACCTGACTCATTAGAGATTAAGAGTTAAACATAAAAATTAAATCATTAATTACTGGAAGAAAATATTGGAAAAATGTTAAATTAATTTGGGGGAATATTTCCTTATGATACAAAACTCAGAAGCCGTAAGTGAAAATATTGATCTAAATATTGACCTAAATGCCCATCAACAGTAGACTGGATAAAGAAATTATGGGATATGTACTCTTTAGAATACTATACCGCAGTAAGAAACAACGAAATCCAGTCATTTGCAACAAAATGGAGGAATCTGGAACACATCATGCTGAGTGAAATAAGCCAGTCCCAAGGGACAAATACCATATGTTCTCCCTGATCGGTGACAACTGACTGAACACCAAAAAGGAAACCTGTTGAAGTGAAATGGACACTATGAGAAAAGGTGACTTGATCAGCATAGCCCTGACTGTTAATGAACAACTTAATACATTATCCCTCTTAGTAGTTTTTTTTGTCTGCCCTACTTAATATGACTGGTTTAATTCTGTAATTAATACACAGTTATTCTTAAGTGTTGAAATTTAACTGAAATGTGATCCCTGTTAAACATAAGAGTGGGAATAGAGAGGGAAGAGATGTACAATTTGGGACATGCTCAGGCTGACTTGCCCCAAATGGTAGAGTTAGAAACATACCAGGGGACTCCAATTCAATCCCATCAAGGTGGCATATACCAATGCCATCTCACTAGTCCAAGTGATCAATTTCAGTTCACAATTGATCATAATAAAAGGACTAAGAGTCAAAGGGAGCACATAAACAAGTCTAGTACCTGCTAATACTAACTGATAGAATAAATAAAGGGGAGAGTGATCCAACATGGGAAGCGAGATACTCAGCAGACTCATAGAATGGCGGATGTCCTAAACAGCACTCTGGCCTCAGAATCAGCCCTAAAGGCATTTGGATCTGGCTGAAAAGCTCATGAGAGTATTTCAGGCATGGAAAGCCAAGACACTCTGGCAAAAAAAAAACAAACAAACAAACAAAAAAAACACACACACCTAAATGAAAGATCTCTGTGAGTGAGATCCCAGTGGAAAGAACAGGTCTTCAAAGAAGGAGGTACCTTTCTCTGAAGGGAGGAGAGAACCTCCACTTTGACTATGACCTTGTCTAAACAAGATAAGAGTCGGAGAACTCAAGGGGCTTCCATAGCCTTGGAAACTCATGACTGGAGCATGGGGAGATTACTGAGGCCATAAACAAGAGTGTCAATTTGTAAAGTCAACAACAGGAGTCACTGTGCACTTACTCCTCATGTAGGATCTCTGTCCTTAGCGTGCTGTACATTGAGACTTAATGCTATAACGAATACTCAAACAGTATATTTCACTTTGTGTTTCTATGGGGGTGCAAACTGTGGAAAGCTTTACTTAATGTATACTAAACTGATCTTCTGTAAAAAAAAAAAAAGAAGAAGAAGAAGAAATTATCAATTCCCAACTTGACTCTCACTGGGATTAAACATGACAATAGGTCTGAAAAAAAAAAAAGAAAATATTGATCTATTCAACTATATGAAACAACAAAAATTTATGCATGGCAAAAGCAGCCTAAACAAAGTAAAAAAAAAAAAAGAGCAAGTAATAAACTAGTGAAATCATGTGTAACTTACATCACAAAGGATTAATATATATAATATGTAAAAAGTTGCTAAAAATAAGGGAGAAAAAGATTGAAAATTACAGAGAAAAAAATGGCAAGAAATGTAATGTGGTCAGTTCATGCAAGAGATTCTAGGTAACCAACTAATTTTTTTTCTTTTTTGACAGGCAGAGTTAGACAATGAGAGAGAGAGAGACAGAGAAAAAGGTCTTCCTTTTTCCGTTGGTTAACCCCTTAAGTGGCCGATATGGCAGGTGCGTTGCAGTCGGTGCGCTGCACTGATCCAAAGCCAAGAGCCAGGTGCTTCCTCCTGGTCTCCCATGTGGGTGCAGGGCCCAAGGACCCGGGCCATCCTCCACTGCACTCCCAGGCCACAGCAGAGAGCTGGACTGGAAGAGGAGCAACCGGGACAGAATCCAGCGCCCCGACTGGGACTAGAACCCGGGGTGCCGGTGCTGCAGGCGGAGGATTAGCCTAGTGAGCCACGGCACTGGCCCTAACTAATTATTTTTAATATGAGAAAGAATTAAGTAATTTTCTGTCTTGCCTGTAAAAACTGTACTCAGGATTAAACAGTTGAAGAGAAATTCTCTTTACAGAAATATTATGGCTGCCAAATGAATACTAAATGATAGAATATCAAAATTTGAAACTCTTAACAATAGGTCTAAGGCATGCATTCTCAACATGGACAATCCTGTCCCCAAAAGTTCCTGGGGTGAAAACTCATAAGTACTACAATGGTGTGTGTTCCTCTAAAGGGCAATGCACAGAACAGATACACAATTGTCTGTGGTGTTAAAACTTCACAGAGAAAGTGCACGTGAGGAAGAAATTGTCTAAAAGTCTCATTAGGAAAGGGCAATGGAAAAGTTGCAAAACACTGATTAGATGACAACACAAATGATTGCTAATATAAAAAAAGGAAAATTACACACTACATACCATCAAACAGATACACATTAGCACCTAGGAGATACCTTTGGTAAAAAGTGATAATCACACCTCATCAAATCTTTAGATGTAATTACCAGTTTATAAAATAAAGGAGAATACCGAATGTGTTAAAATATAAAATATACTATGGGTATCCAATTAGCCAAATCTAGAATGTGGGGAACTCTATAGTATGAAGACCCAGTTTTGCCAAAAAATAAACTATAAGAAGAAAAAAAGGAAAGGAAGGAAGCTATAGAATGCAAGGAATTCAAAGTCACATTAACAATTGTAATACTAGACCTGACTGGGATCCTAATTCTACACAATCAAAAATATTTGTGCAATAATCAGAGATCCCTATACTGAATAGATATTAAATTAAAGGAATTTTGTATGATGACAGTATTGTGGTGATTTAGAGTTATCTTTTAAAGACACAAACTGAAGTACCCTCATTTAAGTCAACAATGAAACATATACCATGGTTACCCAGTGAGGTTTTAGCTGTCTTAACTTATACAAATATATTCTTTGACATTGGTACAACAATGAAATTGCCTAAGGATGCATTTCTCAGAAGCTATGCCTTTGTTAAGCAATGCACAATTGTATTTATTGATGATATGGGGAAAAAAGGGCAAATGACAAATTGAAAAAAAAAAAAAACTCAACTTATATACCATTAGCTAGTAGTTCTCAAACCTAGCAAACATTGTAGTCATTTGAAAGGCTTGTTCAATCACAAATACAGAATTTCTGACATTAGGTCCTGAAAAAGGTCTGAGAATTTGCATTTCCTACAGGTTGCTATGTAATGCTGGTGTTGCTAGTCCAAGAATGACACTTTTAGAATCACTGTCATAGATAAGGAGCAAAACTTTAATATGTAGACAGTATTATTCATTCTATTCTAAATCAAATAGAGAAAAAGACAAATACACTAATAGAAAAGGGCTTGAACAAATTAGAACAAAGGAAACAAAAATGTCCTCTAAACAAACAAACAAACAAAAAATACATACACAACAACCCTCAATGTTTTGCTCCCAAAATATGAGATATTTTTCACCTTTTGCAGTATAACTAGTACTGACAAGGACATAAGGAAACAGGCAATATCATATATTGATAATAGGAGTATAATTGCTGCTGTCTCTGTGTAAGGCATTATCTATAAAAATTTTAAGGGGCTAATGCTGTGGCATAGTAGGGGTGAGCCTCCACCTGCAGTGCTGGCATCCCATATGGGTGCCAGTTCAAGTCTCGGCTGCTTCTGTTCTGATCCAACTCTCTGCTAATGGCCTGGGCAAGCAATAAAGATGGCCCAAGTCCTTGGGTTCCTGCACCCATGTGGGAGACCCAGAACAAACTCCTAGATCTCGGCTTCAGATCTACTCAGCTCCAGCTGTTGCAGCCATTTGGGGAGTGGACCAGCAGATGGAAGACCTTTCTGTCTCTCCCTGTCTGTAACTCTACCTCTCAAATAAATAAATTCTTTAAAAAAATTTAATAGCATGTAATCTTGGAACAGTGCCAAAATTTTACCCTATATTCATATTTACACATATACAATCATAAACATACATTCATCATACACATTATACATCATACACATATGTATAATGATGTACCTTACATGCAACGTATTTATTAAATACACAAAAATGGAAGGACCTAAATTTCCGTCATTAAGATTAGTTGAATGCATTACAGTATATCCAAGCACTGAAATATCATGTTTGTTAAAAAGGGAGAGGAAGCTCTATATGTTCTAATAACTAATATCATATTTCAACAGAAACAAACTCTTATTAATAGTTGTTAATTACATTAATTTAAGTACCTATTAATTATGTCCACTTCCTTTTTTTTAACTTTCATTTAGTAAATATAAATTTCCAAAGTACAGCTTTTGGATTACAGTGGCTTTCCCCCCCCCATAACAACTCTCCCATCTTCCACTCCCTCTCCCATCCCATTATGTTCACTTCTTATATCATAATCTATAAAACTGAAATACAGGTATTTAAGTTTTCTTTATGTTTACCTAGGGTAAACTCTAGCCGATGAATTTTAAATTTGCTTACCTGACCGAACGATCATCACTTCCGGTCACAGCCAAGGGTTTAGTAGGATGGACAGCAAGTGCCCAGAGTTCCCCTTCACAGTGCCCTTGCATAATTAGGAAAGGTTTATTTCTTTCATGTACCACAATTTCAAAAATTTCACTGTCCTGTGTTCCAACTAGAATGTTGTCACCTCGCCAACAAACACTCCTCACCGACAAACCTAGTAAAAATGAGTTGAATTCAATATCGATGCTGTAATAATACAAGGCCAATCTTCCCAAACAGTAATTTCTGTACTTTTCATTTCTAACACAGATGAAGTCTTTTACTCACACTCTTTTCTTCAATGTTCATATTGTTTTCTATGTGGAATGACAATTCCCTATTTTTGTATACCCAGACTTCTCGTTAGACAACTCCAGCCATTTTCAGACTAGTTCCTCAAAGTCTTATTAACACTTACAGACTACATTATTCAATAAGGAAAATCTCCTTTACAAAATACTATATTATTTTTCTCTTGTAATAATCTAACTTTTCGGTTGTCTATATTTCATTTCTTTTCTCATAAAATCATTGAGTATTTCACTTTTTTCTGCATAGTCCACAATTCATTTTGTAACCTTAAATCACTTTTTTTCTGTTTTCTCCTCTGTATAACGGTTATATAAAGATACTATGTACCTCTGAGTACTTGTGAATATCAAACAAGAAAAAAATCAAATTACTTTGTAAATTTTAAAGTCTAATATGCTCAGCAAACCTAAAAAAAATCAACTAACAGCATTCACATGCTTATTATGCTCCCTACATCCTCCTAACCATTTTACGTATCTTAACTCATCTGATCCCATGAGATACTTATTTTTATTATCAATTTACTGATGAGGCTAAATAACTAGCCGAAGATCGCATATCTCATATGTGACAGGAATACAGTTTAATCACAGACCTGGGTAACTTCAGTCATACTCTTGTAATACAATAACACAGAAGTGAATATGTTCATTTTTAGAGCAAATGACCATTTCATTATATTAACTCTTTTTAAAATATCACAAATATCCCCTAATAGCTGACAAACTTGGATGAAGGAAAAACGTATCTACGAGTATTTGAATCAGCCTGAACAAAAGTTCCCTTAACACTCACCATACTTTATTTACAAAATTTATTTGCCAGCTATATTTAGCATTCTAATAGGATAATTTCAAAATGCAAAGTTATAAAGATGCCTGCCACATCTCTCTGCAGAGCCCATTATAACAGGCATTAGACATAAGAAAGAACCTTTGTCACAACGGTGAATCTAACTCTCTGTAGATAAAATATTTCTTCAATAATAGGATTTCAATTGATTTGTATATAGGATGAAGAGGCAAATGTAAATCTTCCTTATAATTACTGAAAGAAACATACAATCTTTTGTACATTGAGACTTCCCCTGGTAATGAGACATTTGTTTTGTTATTACCTTTGTATCCCTGGTCTGTTTCCCTGAGATCAATCACAGTAATTGGTTTAAAAGTTAAATCCCAAAGACGAATACAGCCATCTCTGCCACCAGTAGCAAAGCCTTCCTCACAAGCATTCATGCTAAAAATGCCTGCCTAGGAAAGGAAATAAAATATTTTAACAATATATGTGTTTTAAAAATATCTACTATATGCAGGTATAAACTCATTTAATGATATTTTATGACACAGGAATAAACAAATACATCAAAGGGCCAATGTGGCACAGTGGGTTAAGCCTCTACTTTCAATGCCACATCCCATATCAGAGCTGGTTTGCAGCCCAGGTACTCTGTTTCTGATGTAGCTTCCTGTTAATTCACCTGGGAAAGCAGCGGAAGATGGCCCAAGTGTTTGGGCCCCTGCTATCCAGTGAGAGACCTGGATGGAGTTCCAGGCTCCTGGCTTTGGCCTGGGCCAGCCATGAGGCCATTTAGGGAGTAAACCAGCAGATGGAGGATCCATTTCCCCCTCTCATTCATTCATTCACTCTTACTCTCACTCTGCCTTTCAAATAAATAAATAAATCTTTTTTTAAAAAAGAATACTATGTGCAGATATAAACTCATCTAATAATTTTTTATAATACTGGAATAAACAAATACATCAGAAAATACAAAAGAAAATCTAGAAAGAAATCCATATGGATTTAATACATAACCAGGGTGATATTTAGTCATGAGGACATCAAAGAAAAAAAATTTATAAATTATATAAAAATGTATTAAAGATGGATGGACTTAAATTTCCAAATGTAGAAAATAAAATTAAGATGTGATATTAAATAAGTCAGAATAACACATAGGTTGTCCTGTGACACCAGCATCCCATATAGATGCCAGTGAGTCCAGCTGCCCTGCTTCTGACCCAGCTCCCTGCTAATGTGCCTGGGAAAGCAGCAGAAGACAGCCAAGTTCTTTGGCCCTTGTCTCTCAAGTGGGAGACCCAAATGGGACTCCAGGTTCCTAGTTACGGCCATTTGGGGAGTGAACGAGCAGATGGAAGATCTCTTCTTCTCCCTCTCAAATATTTGCTTAATATTTGTCAAAAGATTTGTATACCTAATATACAAATGAATAAAGAAAACAATAACCACAGGGAATTAATAGAAATTAATAGAAAACGAATCTGGGGCGGCGCTGTGGCATAGTGGGTAAAGCCACTGCCTGCTGTGCTGGAATCCCATATGGGCGCTGGTTCATACCCTGGCTGCTCCACTTCCGATCCAGCTCTGCTATAGCCTGGGAAAGCAGTAGAAGATGGTCCAAGTCCTTGGGCTCCCGCACCCGTGTGGGAGACCCGGAAGAAGCTCCTGGCTCTTGGCTTCAGATCGGCACAGCTCTGGCTGTTGCAGCCAACTGGTGAGTGAACCAGCAGATGGAAGACCTCTTTCTCTCTGCCTCTCCTTCTCTCTGTGTTAACTCTTTCTAATAAATAAATAAATCTTTTTTTAAAAAATGAATTTATTATCAATAGATACATGAAATCTCACAAATAGGAAAATCTCACAAATTGTAGACAAAGTTCAAATAAGAAGATATAATTTCTCACCCAAAGATAAGCAAAAATGTACAATACTGGTCAATTTTGAGCTGATAAAAATGATGAGAAAGATAGTACTTTTATATACTCATGGTGAGAATGTAAATTATCACATTTTTGTGGGAAAAAATTTGGTATTTTTGGCTTTCAGATATTTACTTAAGGCAAGTTTTGTTACCAAGGATATTACTGCAAACAATGTGGCAGCTCTGTGCTGTCTAGCCAGCTCCATTCGCTTTGTAAAGGGGGATCAAGGCCAGAATACTAAAAAAAATAAAATAAAAATAAAAAAACCCAAAACCCTAAAGTATTAATAACAGATACCTTTTTTTTCTGATTTGATATTTATGTTTATGAAAGGAAAGTACAAAAATTAAATCCTTTTATCATTCAATCAATGGGTTAATTTTTTCTAGAGCTGTACCCAAATTTCCCACTGATAAATTAGCCTCAAGAGCACTAGTTTTATTTTACTGTGGTTATTAATCCATAGTATTTTTAATATTATTTTTTCTTAACCATTTATTTACTTATTTGAAAGGCAGGGTTACAGAGAAGTAGAGGCAGAGAGAGGAAGAGACTACTTCCATCAGCTGTTCGCTCCCCAGATGGCTACAATAGCCAGAACTGTGTCAATCCAAAGTTAGCAGCCAGGAGCTTCTTCTAGGTCTCCCACATGGGTGCAGGGGCCCAAGGACTTGGGCCATCCTCTACTGCTTTCCAGGCCATAGTAGAGAGCTAGATTGGAAGAGTAGCAGCCATGTCTTGAACTGGTACCCATATGGGATGCCGGCACTGCAGACTGCGGCTTTACCCACTAAGCCACAGCACTGGCCCCCTAACCCATAATACTTTTAAGTTGAAGTCAACAATTAGTGTTTTTCAACTCTACTCTAATTCACCATGCTAATAAAATTAACAAGATACTAAATATATCAATTTAATAAATATCCATGTCAAATGTATGTGTCTTTATTGAGATGTAAAAAACAAATAGACACTTCAATTAGAATATATCCCATGCAACTGAACTCATTAAAAATGTTATGCTGTGTTATGTAGGCTAATGTTCAAAGAAGTAGTTAACACCTAAAAGTGTCTGAAATAACTTAAATATACTTACAGTATGGGCTCCTTGTATCGTTCGTATAAGATTGATTCCTTTCCAAACATATATATCTCCATTGAGTGCGCCAGAATATGTCAACTCATCCCTTGCACAGGCTAGGCACAATATTGTCTGAAGGTCACCAGTCTTACCAAAGACACCTCGCTTTGGGGTCAGAGCATTTCCACATAAACTCCAGAACTAAAAGGTACATAGTATAATCAAATTAATAGAGTGCTTATAAATTAAACAGTTTGATTCTATGTAAGAGCAGCAGACTAGAATTATCCAAGAAAATCCCTTATGATATAATAGAATGCAATGCTCACAGCCTCATCCTACTGTTATTAAAAGCTATGTTATAGCAAATAAATCACTGGTTTCAATCCTAATCTCTAAGAATAAGGGGGTGGAACTAGATCATTTTTAAAACACACTATTTTCTTCTGAGGTTCCTGAAAAAACTACATAAAACTTAGGTTTAAAAGGTTGGGAACAGGATATAAATGGAAATATAAATAAGAAACAAATTTAGTATTGAATCTCTGGTGGAAATAGAAAAGAAAGGGAAAAAAGACTAGTATATTGTTCTGGTTGCTAGTTTCAAAGCCAAGCGACTCCTTTTCTTATAGAGATTAAAATATGATAGATACTTATTTGGAATGATTTGTTTATTGTTGGGAGAAGAAAGGGAAGTCAAACATGAATCATAACCAGGGATTTTGCTGGTTCCCAGTATATTTTCATTGTTTGCAGAAAAAGAAATAGGAAAGAGCAGAGATATACACATGAAACAGTTGTGTATGACAAAATTAGGCCAAAAGAATAAATTCAACTTCACAGTAAGTAAAATGCCATTTAAAAAGTTTATAGTTACATTTTAAAACTTCAAGCCTTAAAGAACTAAAAATTATATTAGCCATTAAAATAACTAAGCAGTAATTTAATGAATGAGCCTTTAGTGTTTTTTAAGCTTAAAAGCTTCATGATTTCTGTGGAGAACAGTGGGTCTCTTCCTTTCAGGAGGCCCCATCTGAATCTGTTTTCTCCTTCTCAATCAGTGATTCTCAGTCTCAGCTTCACATCAGAAACATGTGGGAAAATTATAAATAGGATACGATGCCTGGGCCCCTAACTAAGAGACTGGGACAAAATCTGAGGGGAATGAAGCCCAGGTTTCCAAATACTTTTGATGCTCAGCAAGAGTTGAGAACCACTGTTCTACAACCCAGATCAATACACATTAGAATAGATTTCAATACAGAAAAGATTATATGTGCATACATACATATGTTTTTCAACACACTGACCATTAGATGTTTAAGTTTTTAAGAATTTGGAATGTGGCAGCTAGTTACTACAGAATTGAATTTTAAATTTTATTTAATTTTAATTTATATGTAAATAGCTAGATGTAGTTACATTTGTGGACAGTGCAGTTCTAAATCATCTCAGAGACTTAGTCTCCTCACATAAATTGCCTGAAAAAGAGAATGGCTTTGGGGGGTGGGGGGGGGACTGGTGCTGTGGCATAGCATTAGTGGCTGCCTGCAGGGCCGGCGTCCCACATGGGCTGCTCCATTTCCGATCCAGCTCTCTGCTATGGCCTGAGAAAGCAGTAGAAGATGGCCCAAGTCTTTGGGCCCCTGCACCCACACGGGAGACCTGAAAGAAGCTCCTGGCTCCTAACTTTGGATCAGCCCAGCTCCAGCTATTGCAGCCATTTGGGGAGTGAACCAGCGGATGGAAGGATTCTCTCTCTCCCTCTCTATAACTCTGACTTTCAAGTAAAATAAAATAAGTCTTAAAAAAAAAAACAAAGAGAACTGTCATACAGTTTTGTCCCTACCAAAGAAAATGCAACTTATGATGAAAAATACAGTTTAGCTTAAAATGGCATTTTAATCTCTATTTACAATATAAAACAGCACTAGGATCTCTTTATTCATAATTTAGCAATTATTTATTAAGCATTTAATATGAAGGTTCTGGAAAATGGAATAATAGCTAAGTTTATTTTGGTGCAAAAATTTTGAAATCTATGCATATGAGGGGGTCTTCAAAAAGTTCATGGAAAATGTGTATTATGAAAAAGCTAGGGGCTGGCGCGGTGGCACACTCGGTTAATCCTCCACCTGCAGCACTGACATCACATATGGGCGCCTGGTTCTAGTCCCGGTTGCTCCTCTTCCAGTCCAGCTCTCTGCTGTGGCCCGGGAAGGTAGTGGAGGATGGCCCAAGTGCTTGGGCCCCTGCACCAACATGGGAGACCAGGACGAAGCTCCTGGCGCCTGGCTTCGGATCGGTGGTCATCTGGGGAGTGAACCAACAGAAGGAAAACCTTTCTCTCTGTCTCTCTCTCTCTCTGTAACTCTATCTGTCAAATAAATAAATAAAAATCTTTACTAAAAAAAAGAAAAAGAAAAAGCTACACACGGATTTCAAAATCTTTTTGGTACCAAAACAAACTTAGCTGTTTTTAAAAGTGTTTTAAATTGGGGCCGGCGCTGTGGTGCAGCAGGTTAACGCCCTGGCCTGAACCACCAGCATCCCATGTAGGTGCCGGTTGGAGATCCAGCTGTTTCACTTCCCATCCAGCCCTCTGCTATGGCCTGGAATAGTAGTAGAATATGGCCCAAGTCCTTGGGCTCCTGCACCCACGTGGGAGACTCGGAAGAAGAGAGACAGAGATCTCTAATCCATTGGTTTACTCTCCAAATCCCCCTAACAGCCAGGGCTGGGAGTAAATTTGGGTTTCCCACATGAGGGGCGGAATCCCAAAACTTGAGTCATCACCTACAGCAGGAAGCGAATATAGCCAGCACTTGGACTCAGGTACTCTGATATGGTACGTGGATTTCCCAAGTGGTGACTTAACTGCTATGCCAAACATGCACCTCCAAACTTATCTTTTGATCCCATTTCCAAGAACTTTTTGAAGTATTCTTACATATATCAGGTACTATGTTGAATATCACATTGTTTATCAAAGAGGACGGAGACAAAAATCTCTACCTTCACAGTGCTTTCATCTTTTATTTGAAACCTAGCATAGAGCCTTTACTGTTAAATATTTGCCAAAAAATAAAGGTTAATCCTATGTATCCATCAAATCAATATTAGAATATCAAAACCAGAATTTCAGGAGCAGTTAAAGATGAGAAAATGTGGATGGAGGTAAGCACGTCAAAACAGAATGTGAATACAGAACTAGGACTTAACAGATTTCAGGAACCATTACATAGTAGAAGAAAAGCTTACACCAATGATTTACAAGCAACTATAAACCTAAGAATGAATATCACCACTGACTTTATGGGTTTCAAAACCTGTACCATAATTCTAAAACAAAACCCAGAATTTTCATAAGCAAAGTAAATAGTGGCTGTTGAGGCTGAATTCAAACCAGAAAGCAAATATATAAAAAAGAAGAGACAACATTCCCAGAAAACTGAACATACAGTGCCTTATTTAATCATCAACTCTGAGGATGATAACAGCAGTCACAGCTTTAAGATGTGAGAAAAGCTCAAAGGTTAAATGACTCATCACAGGTAACTGCTTGTAAATGGCAAAATCAACTTTATCCACGTTGCTTCTACTACACCCTTCTATCTCTGGAATCAAAAGCTCTCCATCTATTTGGCTTACCTTTTCACATTTTACTTTTAAAATAAAATATGAAGAAACAGGATAAACATGGTAAATCCCACCCCACTCTACTAGAAATCCCTCTATGGAAAGTGGTTTATTGATTCCTTATTTGTTTCTATTACCCTTTATAATGTCTCAAAGTGACTACACGATAAATACTTGTTAAGACTGAAAATAAGAAAAAAATTTTAAAAAATTAAAATACTTAAAAAGTAAAAATTTTTAAATTTTAAAAATAAATAATGTCAAAATTCTAAAATTATACTAAATTGTTTACAGAGTGATATATATTTAGCACCAGAGAACTAAACATAATTATAAAGCAAGACCCTTCTAGTACCTTGATATGTTTTACACCACAGCTGACAAGTTTATTTGGCTGGTACAAATCCCAAGAAATGTCAAATATCTGTAAATAAATCAGATTCATGGTTAAAATATTTATTTTGAAAATCTTTTAAGAATTGTTCCAAAAGAACAAATGGCCCCAAACTCTATTATTAAACAATAATCAGAAATGCACTTTAAATTATGAGACATAAAATATGAAATATAAAAAGTATATCTTAGCTTCCATGAATTTTATGAGGCAACTAATGGCATATAATTTAGCACCTCTATTTTTAGTTTTAAAAACATTTAATTGAACAAATTATTTTAAATAACAAGACCAAAGTAGGGAATAATCATGTACCTAATTTCTACAAAGAACAGATTCTGAACAAAACATATACAACACTTACACAACAAAAATACAGATGTTTTATAGTCTTCTGTCACACAGAACCACTTATATAAAAGATCCAAACATTGATTTCTTTTTTTTTTTTTTTTTTTTTTTTTTTGCTCTTTGGCTTTCTTACTGTTACAAAATTAACTTGTAAATTTTGGGGATCCCTAATTTAGTTTTCAAAAATAATTCCTAAATTCTTTTGATAGTTTATAATAATTGATCTATTTACTAAATTCAAAGTACTAATACAGAAAATGCTTTGCTTTAAGTGAGAACACACAGATGTCTAATAAAATTTGCCTAACTTAAAAATATTTATTTATTTGAGAGGCAAGGTGACAGACAGACAACAGAAACAAAGAGTACTTGCATTCACTGATTCACTGCCCAATTGCTCACAAAAGCCCAGACTGTGTCAGGTCAAAGCTAGGAGCCAGAAACTCCATCTGGGTCTCCCACATGGGTGGCAGGAACTCAATTACTTGAGCCATCACCACTTTCGCAGGACAGGAGTCAGGAGCCAGCACCCAGGCAATGAACCCAGGAACTCCAATATGGGACATAACCATTTTAACAGGCATCTTGACTGCTGGACTAAATGCCCATTACAAAATACACCTAACATTCTGAGTAAACTGTATAACAAGCCACTATGAAAATCTACTGAAAACCAAGTATTTTCTCAAAAATGCAATGGACAAAATTTTCTCATAGGTTCCCATAAAGTTGAATCACTGTCTATGCCTCTGTGCTGGTTCAGTTTAAGAATTAATCACACACAGTTGTATGTGCCACATATACAAATTAAACATTTCTAAGGATTTATAATAAAAAAATTTTTTATCTGTATTTGTAAAAGTAAAATATTTAATTTCATAGCTGATAACAAAGTATTCTATTAGTTTTATACAACTTAGAATAAAGAGTATATGTTTTAACAAATTTCTGAAGGAAAAAATATTAGGCCTCCAAAATTTAATAGTAATATTTAATTTTAAATTCACACAGGCAACATAATTTTTCACCTTAACTATAGTACATAAGCAATGAATTCACATAAATCAAACTAAACATACCCTAAGCAAAAGCCATTCAATTTCTTTTTGACAGGCAGAGTTAGACAGTGAGAGAGAGAGAGAGAGAGAGAGAGAGAGAGAAAGGTCTTCCTTCTGTTGGTTCACCCCCCAAATGGCCACTACGGCCGGCACTGTGCCGATCCGAAGCCGGGAGCCAGGAGCCAGGAGCTTTCTCCTGGTCTCCTTTGTGGGTGCAGGGCCAAGCACTTGGGCCATCCTCCACTGCCTTCCACAGCAGAGAGCTGGACTGGAAGAGGAGCAACCGGGACAGAATCCAGTGCCCCAACCGGGACTAGAACCTAGGGTGCTGGTGCCACAGGCGGAGGATTAGCCAAGCAAGCTGCGGCACCGGCCAGAATCATTCAATTTTTAAATTGAGATTTGAATAAGGGATGTTCACATATTTCCAAACTCAAATTGTACATATTAAATACATGCAGTCTTTGTATGCCAATCTTACCTCAGTAAAGCTATCAAAAAAGAAAAAAATGCATAATTTTATTGAAACAAACACTGGTTTAAAAATTCTGTGCGGCAGCCAGTCCTCGCACAGTGGGTTAAGCCCCCACTTGCCACACCATCCTGTATGAGGATGCCAGTTTGAGTCCTGGTTCCTATGTTTCCAATCCAGCTTCCTGCTAATGCACCTGGGAAGGCAGCAGAGGAGACTCAAGTACTTGGGCCCCTGCCACCTATGTGGGAGACCAGGAAGGAGTTCCTGACTCTTGACTTCAGTCTGGCCCAGACCTGGCAGTTGCAGTTATCTGGGGAGTGAACCAGAAGATGGAAGACCTCTCTGTCTCTATTTCAAATAAACAAATATTTTTTAACAATACGATAAAGATAAAAATTTCATGCTAATGCTATATATATGGAATCATGAATCCTTTAACAGATATTTTCTCTAAGACTATGAGTATTTATAATCATATAATGTTTTGTTTTTAAGTAACTCTATTGAGCTATAATTCACCCATCCTACAATTTGCTCACTTATGAGACTGATGCACTGTCTGCTGTACTAACAAGGCACCATTTTTGCTCATTTAAAGTATAAAACCCAACAGTTCTTGGTAGGCTCACTGAGTTGTACCATCAGTTTCAGAACATTTTTGTCACCCAAAAAAGAAACTCCATACCCCATTAATTATTCTATTTCCATAATTGTACATTTTAAAAATAAATTATACAGTTTTAATTACATACAACCTATCTGGCAGTGAAAAAACACAGAAGAATAAAATCCTCTAACTTTCTTCTGGCCTCTTCCCATCCATTACTCATTAGAAATCCCAGTTGAGAATACTTACTCTATCTGTGTGACCAGGAGCCATAGATAACATTTTCCCCCTTTTCCAATCCCAAACACAAACTGTATTCTTTGAATCGAGTCCAACTGAAACCAAGCGCTGAATTATGTCCAAGAAGTCCAGGATAAAATAAAAAAGCAAAGAAATCAAAGAGGAACGAAATTATAAACATCAACATTTGCACATTTATATTCTAAAGATTTCACAGAGAAAGGTTAGATAAATTTCATCTTGTTAATACTTGAACATATGTATAGTTATTTACATTAAGAAAAAGAGACTTCCATTTCTAACAGGACTAACAAAATATCCTAGACAAGTCTCTTGCCCCAACCAAAAATAAATGAAAAACATATATTTAAATAAACTGTTGAGCTTTCAAAGAATCTGGAAATTTGAGAACAAAATATTCCCAGTGGGAATCCTGGAGGGTAAGAGGGCACATATACCTACTCTCCCCTAAGGGTTGTCAGATGAATTTTGGTACCCTCAATTTTTGTGTTATAGGCTAAAGAATAGGAGATTAAAGTCAAGGACCTACTCAGGTAGGCATTTGAAATGCAGACCTCTGACTAAAGCAGTGAATCCCTCAGAGTAAATGACAATGAGAAACAATTCCTTTGGAAAGAAGGGGTACTGGAACCTTGTTGTGGTATGATGGTTTAAGCTGAAGCCTGCAATGTCAGCATCCCATATGGGTGTCATTTCAGGTCCCAGCTGCTACACTTCCAATCCAGCTCCCTGCTAGCATGCCTAGGAAAGCAGCAAAAGATGGCTCAAATCCTTGGGCCCCTACACCCACGGGGGAGATCCAGATAAGGCTCTTGGCTCCTGGCTTCAGATTGGCCCAGCACTGACCATTGTGGCCATTTGAGGAATTAACCAGTGGATGGAACATCTCTCTCTCTCTCTCTCTGTCTCTCCCTCCTTCTCTGTAACCCTGCCTTCCAAACAAATAAAAAATAAAATCTTAAAAAAAAAAATGGATGTCAAAGCATGAAGGAGAGCCAGATCTCCCTGAAAATTTGTAATCATAAGTAGCCTTCACCTGGTTGTTATTATCTAAATTCTCATTATCAATGAACCCCTTAAATGAGAAATTTCAGAGTGGTCCCAAGGACTGTACCCTCAAGTAACTTCAACTATGCAGCAAAGACAAATGGAAGACTGCAACTTCAATTCATCCCTCAAAGACATCTTTTTTTTTTTTTTTTTTTTGGACAGGTAGAGTTATAGACAGTGAGAGAGAGAGAGAGACAGAGAGAGAGAGAGAGAGACAGAGACAGACAGAGAGAAAGGTCTTCCTTCTGTTGGTTCACTCCCCAAATGGCTGCAATGGCCGGTGCTGCACCGATCCAAAGCCAGGAGCCAGGTGCTTCTTCCTGGTCTCCCAGGCCGGTGCAGGGGCCCAAATACTTGGGCCACCATCCACTGCCCTCCTGGGCCACAGCAGAGAACTGGACTAGAAGAAGAGCAACCAGGACTAGAACCCAGAGCCCATATGAGATGCTGGCACCACAGGTGGAGGATTAACCAAGTGAGCCATGGCACCGGCCCCCCTCAAAGACATCTTACAGGCAGCAATTCAGTAACAATAAGCCTTAAATTTAAAAAAACTCCTGTAAACACAGGGAACTAGGAGACTATGAGTGAGATTCAGAAGTCACAACCAACAAAAAAATCAACCTTGCAAAAAATATCAGATAATAGAATTATCAAATAAAAGAAGCTTAATGTGAACAGAGAAATAAAACTAAGACTTCAAAATATTGCATATAAGCAAAGGAGAGTATAAAAAGTATCCAAGATTTGAAGAAAACAAAATTTCTAGAAATAAAAAAATAAAATTACAAACCCAATGGAAGGATTACACAGATTAGAGGGAGAAAAGAGTTGAAAAAGGGAGATACTAAGACAGAAAGTATGAGAGAGGTTGAAAAACAAACCATGAAAGATGGACTTCAAGCCAAAAGGAGTATTACAGTCTGAACTTCCCCTCATTGCCATCAACAACTAAAAAAAAAAATCTGTATAAAATATTTGAAACAGATGATTTTAGACATCCATAATATGAAGTAAAGCACTATGAATCTTGAAAGAGGGAGAAACAAACCAATTGAGTCCTGCAACTGCCATAACTGCTTTGGGAGGGTGTTTCTAGACTAAGGCACAGAAAGGCGTCATCTGAACATAAGAGTCCAGCAGACTGCTGTTTGGAAAGGATGGAGCTTGGAGAGAGAGAGGCCCACATGGTAGAACTGACAGGAGACAAGGCTGGAGAGGACAGGCCAGAAGCCAGGAGAAAGAGTTGGCCTTGGAGGCTGGTGTTATGGCAAAGTGGGTAAAGCCTCTGCCTGCAGTGATGGCATCCCATATGGCTGCTGGTTAGTGTCCTGGCTGCTCCACTTCTGATCCAGCTCCCTGCTAATGGCCTGGGAAAAGCAGCAGAGGATGGCCCAAGAACCTGGGCCCCTATTACCGATGTGGGAGATCTGGATAAAGCTCCTGGCTCAACCTGGCCCAGCCCTGGCCTTGTCATCTGGGGAGTGAACTTGTGGGTGGAAGATCTCTCTCTAACTCTGACTTTCAAATAAATAATAAAGAAATCTGGGGCCAGTGCTGTGGTGTAGCAGATTAAGTTGCCATCTGTAGCACCAGTATCTCATATGGGTGCTGGTTCAAGTCCTGGCTGCGCCACTTCCCACCTAGCTCCCTGCTAATGCGCCTGGGAAAGCAGCAGAAGCTGGCCCATGTCTTTGAGTCCCCGCACCCACATGGGAGTCCCAGAAGAAGCTTCTGGCTCCTGGCTTAGGATCAGCTCAGCTCTGGCTGTTGCAGCCATTTGGGGAGTAAACCAACAAATGAAGACCTCTCTCTGTCTCTCCCTCTCTCTCTGTAATTCTGCTTTTCAAACAGATAAAAAAAAATCTTTAAAAATAATAATAAATCTTGAAAAAAGAGAATAGGCCTTTTTTGGGACAGTTACAGTAAAGTGAGAATTCAGTTTTCAAAATCCATATGTAATATAGAATATTTACAGGCAGTCAAGGAAGCATTTGGAGAGAAGATAGAGCCACTGTCAGCTGATATGGAAGTTAAAGTCATTGGTCGAGATATTTACCCATCAAGAATGAGTAAGATGAAAACTGCTACTGGCTCCTAAAGAACACTGTTATTTATAACACAAATGGAAGGAAAAGCTCCTTTAAAGATAAATAGGAGATAACAATCAGAAAAGGAGATGGAAGCCTCTACCCAGTTTCCCAAATTCCTCTTTGTTCCCATTCCCAAACAAAATCTTATTTTGGTCCATTAATTGAATTGGAAGGATCTACAAAAAAATTTACACATCAAATACTGAAATGAAAATGTTCTAATACACACTAGAAACATCAGATGGGTTCTCAGAACGGTGAAAACATACAAATAAATGAAAATGAAAAGATTCTAGCATGGGGGTACTTGTGATGTCAGTGTTCATTCTATAAGAACTAATTACTATAATGTTACAAAGTAAAATCACAAATTTTACAGAAGACAGAAGCCTTAATGGAGTAAACACTAGCCTAATCATACACAAAGCCATTAGAAACTGGAATCTGGCAGAGCAACATAAGCAAAGAAAATGCAAGAATAATATAATAGGCACTTGAGATGTCTAGATATCAAGAGACTACTAAAGGCTCTTGGGAAAAATTAGTGAACCTTCTAATATTTTTGCAAAAATATTATACAATTTTTATAAATCATGTGCCAAAAGTCACAGATAAACAGAAGCATATAACTTACAAAATTAAGTTAATTCTATAAATTATCAGAGCTATAATCATAACTTTGATTCTGTTAAATATGAGAAATACATTTTATAAATTCTGGTTGTGGGGCTGGCACTGTGGTGCATCGGGTTAACACCCTGGCCTGAGGCACTGGCATCCCATATGGGCGCTGGTTCAAGACCTGGCTGCTCCACTTCCGATCCAGCTCTCTGCTATGACCTGGGAAAGCAGTAGAAGAGGACCCAAGTCCTTGGGCCCCTGCACTTGTATGGGAGACTCAGAACAGGCTCCTGGCTCCTTGCTTCAGATTGGCACAGCTCCAGCCATTGCAGCCAATTGGGGAGTAAACCAGTGGATGGAAGACCTCTCTCTCTCTCTCTCTCTCTCTCTCTCTCTCTCTCTCTCTCTCTGCCTCTCCTCTCTCTGTGTAACTCTTTCAAATAAATAAATAAATCTTTAAAAAATAAATTATGGTTGTATTTTTAAGATAAAGTACCAGTTAAATTTCTAATCCGCCTACCCCTTCTCCCATTTACTATGAAATTTTAGTCCCTATTTGACGTGAATTTATATAAATAGTCTTTTCAGGTCCTAATTATCCTCAGTAAGGCAGACTGCCAGTATTAGTGTGGATATTCAATTCATTTAGAAGACAGCCTCTGGGAAAAGAATACTCAGCATTGCTACCAGCTGGGAAACTCATTACTGGATAAATCTTAAATGATTACTTATAATCAAATCTAAGAAAAATGTAAAAATTATACATTATTTCTTACTTGGTATCCGGTAAATAGTTTATAGTTATAAGCAAATAGATAAGTTCTGTTAAATATATTTTAAAGTATTTTCTCATTAACGTAATTTCAGAGACATTCTTCTTAATTTTATCTTAAATGGTAACAGTTCCTTACCCTTTAGCTTTAACTGTACTTAAAATGGATGAATTCTTTTTAAAAGATAAATAACCACTTCCTAAGTTACATGCTTCGGAAGCAGTAGAGCACTGCTGTTAAAAACATGAGCTTTGGAGTATGACTGACCTGGATTCCCGCTCTGGTTCCATTACTAGCTGTGTAACCTGGGGCAAGTTATTTAACCTAAGTCTCAGTTTCTTTATCTGTAAAATAGAGATAATAATAGTATCTATTTCATAGGGTTATTGTGAGGATTCAATGAGATAATGCAGGCTTAGCATAATGCCTGGCATGTAGCATGTGCTCAATATCTTGTAGGTACTATATTTTCATAAGCTTAAAATTTTAAGTAACATGTTCTCAAGAAGATTTCTGATGATAAAATCCATGAACCCAAGACTTTTCTTATAAGACGCTTAAAATAAGCCAAATTAAAGGTTTTCAACAACTAAAAGCTATGGGCATGAGCTCTCTTTGGATGGATAAAAGAAAATTTCTCAGCAATGCACTATAATACATTTAGAAAGGGCAATTTTAAAGCTAAGAAAGTAACAGTATTTAAAGTTATAAGACACTTAAAGCATCCTGAGTTCACAAATTTGTATATTTGTTTCACAGTGCATTATACTCCTCTGAAATAGGTAAAGAGTACATATTATTCACTTCTGCTTTAAAAAAAATGAATTTCTGACATGAGGACATTAAGGGACTTGAAAGATAACAGTAAAAATGGGACATGAATAAAGTTTCTATAATTGCTAACCATTGCTTTATAGTAATATTAAACTCAGAAACACACTTTTCCCCAAATAAGAAAGTCAAGTTAGGTCTTTATAGATTAATTTTCAGAAAGTCACCTCTTATCAGAAAAAATTATAATAATCTGTGCTACTAAAGAAGTTTTGCTTCAGAGCAACATAAAACATCTATGGACTAAATCTGTTTTTGTTTTGTAAAATCTAATTTACAAAATAATTTTATAAATTGAAAAGCAGACAACTAATTTTTTTCTAAAAGTTAAATTGATTTTAAGGTCTACTTTTAAGACAAAACTTTAAAGAGTATAAATTAGCCACATCTGCAAAATCCAACTTCTTACCACTTTTAAAACATGTGTAGGGTATAACAACTTCCATGAAAACATCAGAATAAAAGGAAAAGCCCTTGACTTACATCTTAAAAAGCAATGACTAGAACTAGATGATAATTTGGAAACTGACTAGTCAGTGAACTGATTAATTATATATATATATATATCCTTTGATTTTGTGTGAAAACAATTCACAGGAATTATTTAATCCTTTCCATTAAAATATAATTTTAACTGATAATCTTTAAATAAACTGAAAATTAAAATATATACAGCTCTCCTTAGAAAAACAATTTTCCTAAGACATTTTCTATCTGTCCTATCAAAATACCCCAGGTGGAAAAGGATTATACGTAAAATTATATATAATTACAAGCAGGTAATACGTAAGTGCATCAGAATTTCTTTGGTTTTCAAAGTATCTTAATATGATGCAATAAAAATTCCTGTTGTCCTTTTTCTTATATAAATCAACCACCCACTCTATCTAGCCACCTTCACTGCTGGATAAATACATCAACTTCTTTCCAATTTATTATAGATTTACAATAATTTCTTATAGTACATTTTCAAAACATAATTCAGAACAAGAAAATGATCACATACCTGTCCATCTAAGTCAAATGCCAAGCAGGCTATACCATGCGTATGAACATCCTTTAGAACTGATATGGTCTGCACGGTATATGAATCCCAAACACAGATATAAGGCTCTTTCCCAACTTGCCCTGTTGCTACCAATACTCGTTCAGGATGCAATGCAAGGCTGCAAAAGAAAACAAATAATAAGACTTAAAAATTGCTTATAGGGCTTTTATATTATTTGGTATTCATAACATTTATATATATATATGAATGAACATTATACTTATCAATTTTAAATAATATGGATTTAAAGTAAATAATTTCTATAAAATCCATGCTAAGAGGTCCTACCTTAATAGTATATCTGTGAAAACAGTTAATTATAAACCAACTATACCTTTCATACTCCCCATAATATAGGACATGTAAACTTCTCAAGAAAAAAGTCCCAAAGGGATCAATTGCCCTATAGTAACAAATAAGCAGCAACCCACCCACATGCCATTTTCTCACTTTGCAGCCATCTGTTTTTTAAGCCCTCTCTCCCACTTAACTATTCTTCTTCAGTACTGCCAGACCAAATTTTAACATCCAAAAACAGCTCTTAGTAGCACTCTTTTTATAACATTAGTGCTTAAACTAAAATCCAATTTTAACAAACTGAAGGGTCAACTATAATTAACACAAAGTAAACTACCAGTCTTGAAAAAGAAGAACTACCAGTTGGTAATAGTCTCTGTACCACAACAAAAGGCAGAAAACATCCTTGGACATCCTCCACTGCCTTCCCAGGCCACAGCCGAGAGCCGGATTTTAAGTGGAGCAACCGGGTCTCGAACTGGCACCCATATGGGATGCCGGTGCCTCAGGCCAGGGTGTTAACCCCCTGTGCCACAGCACTGGCCCCACAAAGTATGACTTGCACACAGAAACTTTAAAACCCCATGGAAAGACAGCTTCGGACCCCGATTCCAGCGTCCTGCTAATGAACACCCTGGAATGTAGCAGATGATGTCTCCAGGAGCTGAGTCTTTTTCATCCACATGAGAGATCCAGACTGAGTTCCTGGATGCTGGATTAGCCAGGGTGGCCTGGCCCAGCCACAAATGTGGCAGGCATTTGGAGAGTGAACCAGCAGCTGGAAGATCCCTGTTTTTCTTTCTCTCCCCCCCCATCCTTGAAAAATCCCCACAATTCTTAAAGTGAACAAATAATGTAAACAGATATTTTCTCAAGTTCTACAATGAACACAACGAAAAGATGCTCAACATCACTAGTAATCATTAGGGAAATACAAATTAAAATAAAAATAATGATAAATTACTTCTATGATTGGAAAAAAACTAAAATATCAACTATTGACAAGTATTCAGAAAAAATGGAACTCCCATATATTACTAGTGGGATGTAAAATGATGTGACTACTTTGAAAAATAGCCTGGCAGCTCCTTAAAAGGCTAAAGTTACCCCAAGATTTAGCAATTCTATTTTTAGATATATCCTCCAAAAGGATGAAAATATTTATGTACACACAAACCTTGTACACAATGTTCATAATAGCATTATTCACCACAGCCAAAAGGGGGAAACATTCCAAATGTTCATAAACTGAAGAATGGATAGATTAAATATAGTACCCATATAAAGGAATATTATTTGAGAATAAAAAGAAATAAAGTACTGATACATACTACAATGTGGATGAACCTTGAAAACATTACACAAATGGAAGAAAGCAAACATATAATGGTAACATATTATAAGAATCCATTTATATGAAATGTCTAGAATAAGCAAATCTATAAAGAAAGATCAGAAGTTTCCAGAAGCTGGAGGGAGAGGATAATGGTGAATTGGTAATAAGCACAGGAATTTTAGGGGTGAGGAAAATTTTCTAATTAGATAGAGGTAATAGATGCACATCTCAGTGATAATGCAAAGTACCACAGCACTGTGTGTGTGCACAATGATTTAATGGTGAACCACACTTTAAAGTGTGAATTTTATGTTATGCAAATTGTATCGCAATAGTAAAAAAAAAGTTGAAAAATAGTGACATTGCCTTGTATATATATTTTGAACCGAAGGAGAAAAAAAAACCCTAAATTCAAAACTAACTGCTCTTCAAGGGTTTCTCAGCAAATTATCTCAATCTTGTTTGCTCATCTTTAAAAAGGACATATATATACTATTAATTTAGGGGAAATTTCCCTAAACATGGAAAATGAGAAATAAAAATACAAAAAGTTTCCATAGTTTAACTATGATATCTATATACAACAGAATAAAGCAATTCAAAGTCACATTAAAGAAAAAGGATAGGTCAGGCCGGTGCGGTAGCGTAGCAGGTGAAGCCACCGCCTGCAGTGCCGGCATCCCATATGGGCTAGGGTTTGAGTCCCAGCTGTTCCACTTCCAATCCAGCTCTCTGCTATGGCCTGGGAAAACAGTGGAAGATGGCCTAAGTCCTTGGGCCCCTGCACCTGCATGGGGGACCCAGAGGAAGCTCCTGGCCCCTGACTTCAGATCAGCACAGCTCTGGCCATTGCAGCCAACTGGGGAGTGAACCAGCTGATGGAAGACCTCTCTCTCTGCCTCTCCTTCTCTCTCTGTGTAACTCTTTCAAGAAAATAAAGAAAAAAAAATTTTTTTTTTGTAAAGAAGAGAGAGAGAGAGGAAAGGTGATTGCTTAAATGTGTGTAAAAAAAAAACAAAAACAAAAACAAAAACAAAACTTCCTGGCCCAAAATATTCTACATGAAAGATCTCTGTGAGAAACCAGGGGAAAGAAGGGGCCATTAAAGAAGGATGTACAGGGGCCAGCGCTGTGGCACAGCAGGTTAACGCCCTGGCCTGAAGCACTGGCATCCCATATGGGCGCTGGTTCTAGTCCCGGCTGCTCCTCTTCTGATCCAGCTCTCTGCTATGGCCTGGGAAAGCAGAAGATGGCCCAAGTCCTTGGGCCCCTGAACCCACGTGAGACACCTGGAAGAAGCTCCTGGCTCCTGGCTTTGGATTAGCGCAGCGCCGGTCGTCGCAGCCAGTTGGGGAGTGAACCAGCAGATGGAAGACTTCTCTCTCTCTCTCTCTCTCTGCCTCTCTTCTCTCTGTGTGACTCTTTCAAATAAATAAATAAATCTTTAAAAAAAAAAAAAAAGGATGTACTTTTCTCTGAAGGGAGGAGAGAACTTCCACTTTGCATATGGCCCTGTCTAAATACTGATAGTTTGTGGTCACAAAAGGCTTCCATAGTTCATGACGAGAGTCTTGGGTGATCACTGACATCATAAATAAGAGTGTTAATTGTTAAATTAACAGCAGATATCACTGTGCACTACTCCCCATGTGGGACCTCTGTCCTCAATGAGTTGTACTATGAAAATTAACTGCAAAACTTGTTCTCAAGCAGTACTTTATACACTGTGTGTATGTATGTGTGTATGTGTGTGAGTGCAAACTGGAAATCTTTACTTAGTATAGAGTTGGTCTTCTGTACATAAAGTTAATTAAAAATGAATCTTAATAAAGAATGGGATGGGAGAGGGAGTAGGAGGTGGGATGGGAGTGGGGATGGGGCAAAGAACCACTATATTCCTAAAGTTGTACCTATGAAATTTGCATTCATTATATAAAAGCTTTAAAAAAAAACTGCCAGGTTTTTTTTTTTAAAGATTTGAAAAGCTGAGTTAACAGAGAGAGAGAGAGAGAAAGAGGGAGACACACACACAGAAAGATCTTCCATTCACTGGTTCACTCCCCAGACAGCTGCAAGGGCCAAGGCTGGCAGGCTGAAGCAAGGAGCCTGAACTCCATCCAGGTTTGGTGATTGGCAGGTACACAAGCACCTGGGCCATCTTTCACTGCTTTGCTTTCCCAGGCCTTTAGCATGGAGCTCAATCAGAGTGGAGCAACCAGGACTTGAACCAGTGCTCATGTGGGATACAGTATCTTACAGGCAGCTGCTTAACTCACTGCATCACAATGCCAACACCCAAAACTGCCAATTCCCTACATGGTTTTACCATGTTACACTCCCACCAGCAATGTATGAAAGTTTTAGTTGTTCCACATTCTCACTAATATTTGCTATTACCAATCTTGTTAGTTTGACTCCCTGATGATTAATGACACTGAGATATGTTTCTTGTAATCTGCTCAAGTCTTCTAGACACATTTAATCGGGCTGTCATATTTTTGAATTTTAAAAGTATTTCATATATTCTCAATACAACTGCCTTTGTCTAATATGTGATTTGCAAGTATTTTCTCTCACAATGTAGATTTTCATTTTCTTTCACAAAGGAAACTTTTTATACAAAATCAGTACATTAATTTTTTGCTTTATGGATATCCTTTTGTTTAACCAAAGTAAATGTTTACTTCTAAAAGTTTTATAGTTTTATACTTTACATTTAAATCTATGCTCGACTGTAGATTTTATATAAGATACAATATAAATTGAGGTTCATTTCCCCTCTCTATGGATGTTAACTTGTTCCTGCACTTTTGTTGAAAAGACTACCTTTCTGGCGCCGCGCTCACTAGGCTAATCCTCCGCCTTGCAGTGCCGGCACACCGGGTTCTAGTCCCGGTCGGGGCACTGGATTCTGTCCTGGTTGCCCCTCTTCCAGGCCAGCCCTCTGCTGTGGCCAGGGAGTTCAGTGGAGGACAGCCCAAATACTTGGGCCCTGCACCCCACGGGAGACGAGGATAAGCACCTGGCTCCTGCCTTCAGATCAGCGTGGTGCGCCGGCCGCAGTGGCCATTGGAGGGTGAACCAACGGCAAAGGAAGACCTTTCTCTCTGTCTCTCTGTCTCACTGTCCACTCTGCCTGTCAAAAAAAAAAAAAAAAAAAAAGAAAGAAAGAAAGAAAAGACTACCTTTTCTTCATTGAATTATGCACCTTTATCAAAAATTAATCATATATATTAACTTGTAACACTGTACTCTATATTTTGTTCTATTGACCTATGTATTTATCTTTCACCAATATCACACTGCTTGATTACTACTTTAAATTAACTTTAAATTAAGTAATGCAAGTCCTCTTTGTAATTTTTCTAAATTGTTTTAGCTCTTCACATTACTTCATCTTTCCCACAAATTCAGAATTAACCACTCATCCTAAGTATCCTGCAGTGATTGAAATCAGGATTGCGTTAAATCTATAAATCATGTTA